GAAAATATAATGCTTTCTTAGAGAGTGGAAAAAAGAAATTAAAACCATCACATACACGCAACATAGTTGTTGGAAAGTTTCAATGTCTCTAGCTTTTTAAATAAAAGCTTGACTGTTTCCAAGGGATTACTCTACTGTCAGACATCAGTATCGTGCCTGTCACACTTGATCAAATTGTGAGTCTGATTTGCACTTTGCAGATAACTCATTAGTGTCTGTTGGCTCATATGTAAAGAATTATTTTTCTGAAGCATGTTTCATCTAAGAATATTTGAGGTTGACTGAGACTTTCCTTTTGGTTGTTCCTGTAACCATAGGCCTTGTAACTGAAATTAGTTATACAAGTGAGAATCATTTGACCAAATGGAGACCTTTATCTTCAGATTAAATGAATCATGATCCAAAACTCCATTGTCAAAATCTCTGCTAACTGTAAATTCACTGTAGGATAATTACCTTATTTGTAGGTGTCTACACTTTTAAAGGCTTATGCTAAGTTACTTGCTTTTTCCACACGTACCTGGGACTGCCTCTGCTGGGCAGAAAGCCCATGCAGATTCAGATGACACAGGAGATGAACGGAAAGAAGAGATAGTAAATTGAAACAAAGATGTTTCACATATGAAAAAAAAAAAAAAAAAAGACCTTTGGAGAAATAAGGGATGATAATAGTACTTACACAGTGACATGTCCTGGGGCCAGGGCTGAGAACAAAGAAAGCAAAGGAGAAGACAGAACAAGGGTAAGAGGGATGTGGAGTCTATAGCTTAAGAGGCCAAGTCTTAAAATAGGAGGAGGAGGCAAAGCTGAGAACAAAACAAATTGCTCTGGGAGTTGTTTGAACATAAATAATGTTGTTAGCCAAACCATATTAATGTAGTACGTTGGAGCTGAAGTACCTGCTGGTGGAAAGAACTGCATGCAGAGTTTTCAATGTGCTCCAGCCCAAAGAAGACTATAGATGTTTGAAAACTGTGCAAAACAATGTGCCACTTCTGTAGATCTTGCTCAGGTTTGCTGATCACTGATATTACCTGGGCAACTTTTAATCTAGAAAAATCTGATTTTTGTACATAATTTCTTTTAATGTCACAGTTTTATCTGAAAACATTACAGAGGTTTCAATGAGTATTTGTATTGTTCCACTGAAGAGTAATAATCAATGAATATTTGGGTGTAAATCAACTATACTTTATGGGAAAACACACTCTACCCTTGAGCAAAGAAACCTACTAACATTGTAAGGCCAAAACAAAAAAAACATGGCAAACAACAATAGTTTTCATAGTAGTCTATTTTCAGTATAAGTAACTCTGATAGACAAGTCAGGGCCCTTCTCATCTCAGGTACATCTCTGTTCTAATAACACAGACATTTTAATTTAAAAAGCTTGCCTTAGATGCATTCAGAAATCTTTGAGAGGGATTAAAAGAACAAGAATAGCACCTTGTGTTATAGCCTTCTGATAAAAGAATGCTTTGTCCCCTTACCCCTCCCCTGAGAAAATACTTAAAAGCAGGAAAAAAGAAAGATCAGCTGGAAACTCTAAAGCACATTTTCATCAAGGTGCTTAAGTATAGACTCAACTTGAGGCCGACTGAGGTTGACGTGACTCAATTTCAAGCCTTTTTTCTCTCCCCGCTCACAAGTTTCTTCCCAGCTCAGTTGCCCTAGCACTCAGAACTGTGGATGTAACAACCCTCTACTTCATGAATATGGCCAGCACACAAATGCTGAGCTCAGTGCTTTCACACCTCCTGCTCAATGAGATGCCATGGAGTGCCAGGGCACATGGAAGCCCTCCAATATGCTTGTGTGCCCACACTCACAGAATGGTTTGGGTTGGAAAGGACCTTAAAGATAATTTAGTTCCAGCTGGTGATTTGGAACTAGCAGGGATGCTTCCACTTGACCAGGTTGCTCAAAGCCTCATCCAAACTGGCCCTGAACATTTCCAGGAATGGGGCAGCCACAACTTCTCTGGGCAACCTGTGCCAGGGCCTCACCACCATCACAGTAAAGTTATTACTTATATTTAAACAAAATCTACCCTCTAGTTTAAAGCCATTCCCCCTTTCTCCTATTACTACTTGCTTTTATAAAAATTCCTTTTCCAGCTTTCCTGTAGCCCACCTTCAGGCACTGAAAAGCTGCTATTAGGTCTCCCCTGAGCCATCTCCAGGCTGAACAATCCCAGCTCTTTCAGCCTGGCTTTACAGGAGAGGTGCTCCAGCCTTGTGAGCATCTTCATAGCCCTCCTCTGGACCCACTACAACTCCTCCCCTTACAGGCCCCACAGTGTCAGATAACACAGGGCTGGAAGGAATAGCACCCTTTGTATGAGCTATAGCTGAAGCACATCAGTTGCCTGAATATTGACAGCATGTAATGAGGCAGGTTCATCCCCCTCAAAGCCGAAGAGGAGTCAGGTGTGCTGTCAAGAGAAGCATCAGGGCTGACTGACCTAAAGCCATGCAGATACACCAGAAGGAAGCAGCGAATGATAGCAGTGGGTGACTCCCTGCTCCAAGGTATGGACACACGCATTTGCCAACATAGCATGCTGTCTAGAGCACTGCTTGCCAGCTGAGAGCGTATGAGCAAGGATTAAAGAGCAGACCCATATGGGTGACAAGGTAGTGAGCATCTGCTATGGGCTCCTGACCAGGAAGAAAAAGTGGATGAGGCCACATATAGACAGCTAAAGGCAGCCTCCCATTTCCAAGCCCTGATCCTCATGGGGCACCTTAACCACCTTTCTCTCTGCTGCAGGGGCAACAGAGAAGGGCATAAGCAACCCAGGAAGCTCCTAGACAGCATTGATGTCAACTTCATGACACACTGAAAGAGGAGCAAGGGAGGTGCTCTGCTAGACATCATACCAACAAGGAAGAGCATATCAAGGATGTGAAGGTCAAAGGCAGCCTTGGCTGCTGTGACCATAAAACAATGGAGCTCAGGATTCCAATAGGATAGAGTGGGGCAAAAAGCAAGACCACAGTGCTTAACTTCAGGAGAGCAGACTTTGACCTCTACAAAGACCTGCTTGGTGGAGTCCCATGTGATAAGGACCTGAAGGGAAGAGAGTCCTAGAAAGCTGGATAATATCCAAAGATCATCTCCTCCAAGCTCAAGAGAGTTCCATCCTAATGAATACAAAGTCAGGCAAAAATGCCAGGAGGCCTACATGGATGAACAAATTGCTCCTGGGGAAAAAAAAAAATCAAACACAAAAAGCCTATAGAACATGGAAGCAAGTACAAGGTAATGTGGGAGGAATACAGAAACACTGCCTGAGTATTCAGGGGTGCAGTTAGGAAAACTAACGCCCAAATGGAAATTAATCAGGCCAAGGATGTCAAAGACAAGAAGAAGGGTTTCACTAAGCACAGAGGTGACAAAAAGACTAGGGCAGATGTCATTGCAAGGCCATTCTTGGCAATATTTGATCGATCATGACAACTGGGGAAGTGCCCAATGACTAGCAGAGAGCAGGTATCATTCCTATCTTCAAGAAGGGCAAGAACTACAGGCCAGTCAGTCTCAGCTTGATCCCTGGGAAGGTGATGGAGCAGCTAACCCTGAAAACTATTGTGCAGGTACATCAGCAGTAGTCAAGCATAGCTTCACCAAGGGGAAGTCATGCTTGACTAAGATAAACATCTGTGATGAAATGACTGGCCTGGTAGGTGGGCAGAGAGCAGTTGTAATTGTCTACTGGGATGTAAGTAAGGCCTTTGATAGTCTCCCATTAGATCTCATAGAACTGGTGTTGATGTACAGGCTGTATGAGCAGAGGGAGGTGGACTGAAACTCGCTTAAAGACCAAGCCTAAAGGGTTGTGGTACGCAGTGCAGTCTGGTTGAAGGCCAGTAACTGGCAGCACACACCAGGGGTCAATATTGGGTCCAGTCCTGTTTAACATCTTCATTAATGATGTAGAGCACAGTGTACCCTCAGCAAGTCTGCTAATGACACAAAACCAGGATAAGTAGCTGATATGCCAGAGGGTGATGCTGTCACCCAGAGGGACCTCAACAGGCTGGAGAAAGGGGCCAGTAAGAACATCATGAAGCTCAACAAGAGAAATGTGAAGTCCTGCACCTGGGGAAGAACAATCCCAAGCATGAATAATATGGTTCCTCAATCATAGTAGCACAGCCATCATACGATGCCTACACTACTAATATCCTGCAGCTTTATGACTGCCAAACATCTGAAGTTTGGGTTATCTGCTTCCACTGGTTTTCATGAAGAGGTTTTGAAAATAGGCACTGTGTATTTTCTGTAATTTATCAGTGAGGTGACAGAGTAATGCTTTCAAATTTTAAGATCTTGAGTTCATCTAATGTTCTGTGATCACTTTAGAAGCACTAAAAAAGCCCCATAGGCAACTGGCCAGCTTGCACTATAAAACTTCAGCTACAACTCCTTAGTGCTCATGCTGCAAGGAGGACATGATCAGAAATTCAGAAATCCATACAGATCCCCTTTAGAAACAGGCATGCTTATCTTTCATGTACAAGAAATGACTATTTTCGTAGATACTTTTATTTTGCAAAACATTTATTACTCACTGTTGTATAAAATATACCTAAAACATTTTAAGGTAATGTTGACACAAGTAGGTAGTTTGCAAATTACCTAGTTGAAAAGAACAAATCTTCACAATTTTTAAGGTGATTCAAGACAGTAACAGTGAGTGAATTATACATTTTGAAATATTTCATTTGTAAGCTTTACACAAATGTTATTTGGTACTAGTATTTGTAAACCTGAACGCTTTGTATACAAAGTTTCCATTCACGTGATTAGAAGATACAATGAAAAGAATGTTTTACAGTTCATTTTCTAAAGCATTTCAATTTCCTTTCTACTTTTGGTTTTACAGAAATAGCTGATTCAGTTCAGAACTTTAATTTTTAAAAGACACAAACAAGCAGTATTAATTACAAATCTTTCTTTATAAATTAACAAAAATTGCAAGTAACTCATTACTGGTGTTTGTTGAAATGTAAAAGAAAAAAATGAAAACATTTTTAAGGTAAATTATACTAGAAAATATTAGTTTGATTTCAGTATTATAACTCCTGGGTGGAAATTTGGCAAACATCTACTTAAAACAGCCAATGCCAATTCAATTAAAGTTTACACAAAACTGGTTTATTTCTTTACAAGAGTGCTACTACTATATTTCATGAGGCAAGAAACCATATTTCCAGAGGTTTCTCTATGACACAGCCCAAGTAATTTTCTAAAGAGTGCATTCAGTTATTTATCTTAGTTTCTTCTGAACCACAGGATTTTTATATCATTAAAAAACAAACAAACAAGCAAACAAACAACAAAACCTAACCAGCAAACATTAACGGGGGGGTGGAGAAGTAGGAGGAAGAAAGAAGACATTAACATTACCTTAAAAAGTGTATATCCGATAACTAAAGATATGAGACACAAAGGGGACAGATCTTACCTGGCATAAAGACAACATAGCTCCACTGGCATCAGCAGAGCCACCCTGACTTACATCAGCTACAGTTCTGCCTATCCATGCACAGCAAAAGCCATTTATGTTAGTGATAGTGTTCAGAAGTACTGTTAATACACTACTACTAACAGTGTTAGCATGCATTTTTTAAAGCAAGTTCAGAACACCTTGGTTCTCATCTCGTATTTTGTTGCTGGTGACTATTGCTCTTACCACTGACAGTGTATCTAGTTCAGGATGAATTCATCATGACTTTCAAATGGTAGACTAAAATATATTTAACATTCATCTATGAAGTTATTAACCACAGCTAGTTCTTATCAGAAATATTCTGAAGCCCATTTACAGTGTGACACAGGTGGTTTTTAAAGTACTATTTTACAACTTTGGTTAAATTTTTATACTGTTACAGATTTCCACTCACCATAATTTGTGCTGAATAAACTGCAACCACTGGAAGTCAACAGCAACTGAAATTTAGAGCAGCATGACTATTTGTTGTTAGTAATAATTTCTTTTACAGATCATTAACTATAGGAAAATTAATTAAAAGTATCTCCCTAAGGCTTTTGTTTACAGAGCAAATCCTAAAAGCAGAATTATAGGAACAGAAAAAAGTAATTGCACAAGTTTTTTATAGTCAGAAAGATGTTCTTTTAAGGCAGAAGAAAATTCCTGGAGTGCAGAGGACAGATTACTTAACTAGGAGTACAAATATTAAAAACATATAAAACCTGGGAAGCAGAGGCTGAATTCCAGAAACGCTTAAGGTAGCATTCAGGTCCTACTACTATCATCTGCCAAAGCTATCTCAGGCTTTTGGATATATATATAATGTATATGTATGCTTAATCTAGTAAAATAACAAATGGGATTCAGATGATTTCTGCCAGAGATCTGTACAAATGCTCACCTCCACAACCACCACATAATATACTCAAAACAGTTTATCCAAGTGTAATTTTGAATCTCAAATAAAGCTATCTGTAAAATACATTATTAATGCAGTGTATGCTCAGGTCACTTGAGCTCTATCTTCTGTCAAGTTCTACTTACAGAAAGAAACAATTTAATGAAGTCTGTAATAAGGCAAGTATAAAAGGTAGAGGTAGCTACACTGGACAAAACTCTTGGCAATTTTCATCATTTCTGTAATGATCCTATGTTAAAAATCTCAAGAAGCTGAGGTACAATCTTATGTCAAGTAAACATGAGATTTGTCTTGCATTCATTTGAAGTACAACAGTTACCCCTATTTCCTGATTTTTTTTTATTTCCTTAAAAGAAAAATACATACTCGCATACGATGCTGATACCCTATGTGTGGATGCCATAAATCCCTTAGGATAGCAAGTTTGATGGGTGGTAACCCATTAGGAGAAAAAAATATTTTTTAATATTATTTTACATATATACAATATATATATATTTAATTTTCAATCAAAATATAAAGATTTCTAATGTATTCATCAGTATTTTAAGTGAAAAATGAAAAAGTGTTTTGCATCTCAGTTCATATAAATTAAAAAACTAACAAGGTATTTGAGATCCACCAGTAATGTTTTTTGGTTTATTTCTACAGAATTAAAACAAAGAAACAGTAAGCTAAAAAGCTTTCCTTCTCCAAACCCAAATGTAATAAAATCTTGAAGCTGAGTAATTAATTGAAAGGACAACACCAAATTTTGTACTTTAAAGCAATCACAAAGAGTAAGAAATGGAATCTAAGTAGAAACTATCATTATTATATCAACATAGTCCAAAGAAAAAATATTTTTAATCCCTTATTTTTGATGGAGTGTGTCTAGCAGAGATTAAAAAAAAAAAAGTTGAAAATTAAAGTTAAGTTAGTTACATTCTCACCAGTCTATACTAATTTGATAAACCTCTCCCCCCCCCCCATTTCCAAAATACCTAGTACCACAGAAGTACGACAGCCACTTATTTACAGGGTTTTTTTCACCACTGTGAAAGGCACATTTATCTTTTTACACATGTTTCTGCTAATGTCCTAAACTTGGGTTCCAGCTGATCTAAGAAGTCAAGTGCCTCTTCTTCATGCTGATCACTGCAGCAGCCTACAGAGCCAGCCAAGGATCCTTTTCCTTCATAGTTATATGAAAGGAGATAATCTTCAGAGTGCTTCTGTTCTTCATCCTGTCTGCATAGGTGCACCTTCTGCATAAGAAGAGAACACATCTTATTATTTTCTTAAATTGTTATCCTAAACATATTGCATAAAAATAATTTCTTTTTGATTTACCTTTCATTGATTAATTTTTAATCAGAGTGTGTCCTCTAATGGATTCCTACATACAAAAAATGCACATGATTGGTCTATATCATTAAGACTACAAAATATAAGTATTTAATAAATAAATAATTTCTACTAATCATGTATGTAACAATAAAAGAGGAAGAACCTGTTTAAATAACCTGTCAAGCAACACTATCCGAAATTAAAAGACTGATTTACACATAAGCAGTTAGGCAAGGAGTGAGAGTTTTTGATCTCCAAAACATGGAGCAGCTACATTTTTAATGCTGTACATTCATTCCTGCAACACTGCTAAGGTAAGTATCAGGTTTAAATTAGTACAAAGCCAGCAGTTAGAATAAGGCCAACAGACATTGTCAGAAAAAGGTAACAAAAGCTTGAGTAAAGTAAGTCTTGTAAATGAAAAATAGCATATTGCCTGTAGTTTAAGCCAAGAAAAGAAAGTTATTTACACTTATGTCTAAAATAAGGAAAGGATGATTTTTTGAAAGGGCAATATTCCAAAGGGGATGCAGAGGAGCAAAGGAAACAAAAACCACAGAAAGCCACCCTCCTAGCACAAATACATGCCTTCATTGAAATGTATGCATTTATTGACCATAGCCTACACTCAAAAAAAAAAACAAAAAAAAACACCAAACGATTTGGGAATACTTACTTCACCTAAACGAGGATGTGTGAAATTATGCCATTCTGAGTAGGAGTATCTACATGTATCCATCATAGTCTGTCCTCCTCCTTCTTTAACTGATCCCAGAGTCTGATGTCCACCTCCTTTGACTGATTCCAAGGTATGCCCTCTTCCTTTAGTCATTTCAAATGTTTGTTGATCTCCTGTTTTTATTCCATATCCTCCTTGATCACATGTATTCTGTAGAGGAATTATATTGTGATCCTAAAAAAAAAGATGCAGCAGTGGAGAGACCTTTAATTTTTTAACTCAAAGGATGAAACAGCAGTCAGGAACTGTCAATACTGAGAACTGGGAAGTCTCTACCCTTTTTGAACAAAAAGCTGTACTTAGTGCATAAGGATCACTAAGTGGTTTTTGGAAAGAATACTATCACAAGGAGCAGAAAAAAAATCTGCAATTAAATATGATATGAGATACAAATACTGAATCTTGAAACCAATGAGAGCTAGTTTCTTAACATGTAAAAATAATTGGTTTTTTCAAGTCAACAACCTGTAAGCCACTAAGCCAAATATAGTCATATACATAAGTTTCATTCTGTTTCTTCACCCATTAAGTTCACATAACACGTTAAATGTGCTAAAACTAGTACACAGTTAGATCACAAATTAAAACTACATTATCGGTTCATAATGGCACTACATTATGTTTCATAGGCAACAAGTTTGACACTTGTCACCATTAGGATTTTTTTCAAGGTGAAGTTAACTGAATGGTTTTTAAACTAATCTCCTTTTCTTGGGGAGGGCAAAGTCAGAGAGTGGGAGACAGAGGAGAAAGGAAAGAGCTAAGTTCTTGTGTATGAATGCAGTCTTGGGCTGGACTATGTTCATGGTAGACTGAATCTTAAAAAAAATTTAGATGCCAAAAGCACAAATATATTTCATGAACATGGACTATTTGATTATTTACTATTCACCCACCCCCCACCCCCCCCCCCCCCCCCCCGGCTCAAAAATCAAGTGTAGTTGGGGTCATTTTCCAGAGAGAAGGCAGAAACTGCACCTGCAGTAATGTTCTACCACAGACACACATTTGACATAGGCAAAATAGTAGATTTCCACCTAATGTCATTGCTGAAAATGACTGAAGAGATTAAAAAGTTCACCTGAAATTTCCAACTAAACAGTTAAAGTCTGGAAGGATTATAAGCAGCCAGGCTAAGAACTACAGGATATGTTCAAATATACATGGTACTACCAACTCAGCCTAAAAAAAAGAATTTTCAAGTTCTTCTTAAATAGCAAAGCACACCTAATGATCCCTGAGTGTATTCTTATTCGTATTGCTTATTTCCTTTACCAGATCACTTACTTGAATGTGGTCCTGCTCTCGAACTGAAATGCTATGGATACCTTAATTCTACATTAGTACACTGAAGTAAATAGACAACTTACCATCACTTCTTCTCCTGGAGCTTCTGTATTTGAAATGATTAAATTATGATTGGCACAATCATCAGTCACATGCCTGTGCATTACTCCAGAACCACAGCAGCCACAAATTGTGATCAGGATTACTATAGAAAGGAAATAAGTGAGGAAAATACTATGAAATTTAACTCATAATGGTATCTTCTGTCTGACAATGAATTTTCCAGTAGCAGCCTTTTAAAATGCCTAAGCATCAAGTATAGGTTAAAAAATACTTCATTTCAAAAAACGCCCATACACAAAACTGTACATATATACATTTTTTCAAACAGTACATGGCGTTTTCACTATACTGGTGAACTGTGTCACTCTTCTAGAACATATCTTGGTTTTCCCTAAAAGAAATGCAAGCATCCTTTATGAAAACACTGTGACTGCGAAATTTCACAGTAATAAACTTAGACCAAATCCTGGTGAAAAATCGTATTTTGTGCCTACAAAGTTATACATATTTTTCATTTATGAATATGAAGATGTCAAATTATATCATAAGGAACTATGATAAAGTCCTAAGCTAAAGGTCCCAATACCAGCAACTTCTGCTTCACAGAAAGGTCAGCAGAACCCTGGAGGACTTCAAGCATTATGTTACAGAACAGTCTTATTTAATTCCTTGTATTCAGTTTATCCCTCCTATACTACTACTTTGTGTTGTCATGGAGACTCAGCCAGGAATTACTTTATATAAAAGACTCACAAGCAACCAATACCTCTCCTAAACAAAGGATTAAACATTTCATTCAGAGAATTCTCTCTCCTTCTGTTTTCAAGTTGATAGCTTAAAAATAAAGAAGTCCGCAAGGAACAGAAGAGTTCTGCCTAACTGCCCACTGAGCAATCTGATCTCTGAACACGTAAACTCTGGATACTGGCCAAGAGCTACTTTCAAGCTCATTTAGCTTCTGCAGCTGTCAGTGAGATCTGCATCAGCAGTTCCAGCAGGCTGCTGCCTCATGCAGACAGATGGGAAGAAGACATCTATGACAGTACTGACTAGAAGACACACAGAGTAAAACCTAGCCACAGTAAAATAATGGGTCTGTCTGGGAAGGCTGCAGTCAAAGGGTAGTGACAAAAGCTAGCTGACGTTTCACACAGTCCCCCTACTGAACATCCCCATATCTGAAAGCTACACCTCTGGGCTGTATCACAAATTGGGTACCTGCTCTCTTGGCATAAAATATGGACCTATCTTATCCCCAAAACGTGTGCAGGTCCCAGTGCTCTATCTACTTGAGTAAGAACAGGGGGAGAACTGAACAGGGGCAAGACAAGATGACCATTAATCGAGAAAATGGAAAAGAAAGAACTAAAAACAAACAAACCACAAACAAACAAAATGCGAAAAGAAAAAAAAAACAACCAAAAAAAAAGATCTAGCTTTGCTATTACACATCACAGCCACCATCACACTGGTTAACAGCAATATTAACCTGCTAAGTATCTGTCAGTCTTTGGGCAACTCAAGTAAAACAGTATGTTTTCAAGAATTTGGTCCATTGCACAGGTATCCAACCTGTCCTTCAATATTACACTGGCTCTTGTAAAATCCCTTGTGAATGTCTCAGATACTCCATGTTTTAATCCATGACACAAGAAAGGTCACAAAAAGCTCTTGGAAATTGATTTCTGCATTCCTATAAACAGAAATGTGCATCCCAAACCCAGCACTAAACTCACAAAGTTTGCTGTACTTGCCTCAAGGCAAGATCTGATAAGCACTACAAATCTCACCCTCTTCTGGTTCAAGTTCTGAATGCAGGTTTTCTGGCCTTGCTAGCATGAATACATAGAATATTTTACATAAACTGTACTTAGAAGAATAAACAAAAATCTACACACAGTAACTGCAGGAGAAGATGAGAGCAAGAAGCTTGTGATACAGATACAAACTGAGTAGCTAGATTAAGTCAGTGGTGACTGACATACAGCTGCCTAAATAAAGAAAGAAATGTTTGAATCAAGTTTGAATCAGGTGCCTTTAGCTAATTTTAAAATTAAGTATTTTGCATTTAGTGTTAAAAAAAACAAAACAAGTGTACTTACGCAGCAATAACAGTGACCCTAAGATCATTGCAAGGATGGCCCACACGCCAAGAGTAACATTTCCACCAGAAAGTTCACGGCTTTGGCCACCATTGCATTCGGTTGGAGTAACACAATCACAGAGGTTGACTTTTATGTGGTTCTCTCCTACCTTTCCTCCATTATCAATCACACTTATAGGAATATCATATGTACCAAATGGAATATCACCCTTTGGTGAAAGATATACAGAATTATCTGAAAAGAAAACAAACAAAACAAACAAACAAACAAAAAAAACAAACCAGAAGAAAACAGGTTTAGTGTTAATAATAATTGAAATTCTGTTGTCACAAATGTGAACATAGTCACAATATTCCCTTTGGTTACAGCTACACTGCTACCAGATCTGCATTAGCTAGTTTAAAGCTAGCTCAAATGTGTTGACACAAAACTACATCTTGAAAGCATTCATACATTCAGCACCTTTTAAATGTTAGAATTGAAAAAGCAAACCTCACACAGCTTTCTGAAAACATATGATTTTAAACTCTCATTCAGTTGATTATAATAAATGAAACTATTTGGGCTTACTAGTAAAGACCATCAACTATTTATTAAAAGGACTTACGGTAGTGTGGGTGGAATAATTGTAAATTTAATTTATACTTCTTCCACTCTTTAGCTCTATTGCTATATTCATTGGGAAGTAAAATCCATTTAGTCTACTGCCCTCCACAGCAGCAATGATTAGTGACCATGTGTTTTAAAGGGCAAAAGAAATCATTTGTGAGAAATATGTACAAGACAGACACTGATGTATATAATGTTGCTTTATGATGAGATATATGAAACTACATTTATCATCCAAATATTTTTTTTTTTCAATTTGCGCAATACAAACCTTAAGGCTCTTAGACATCCTTGCTGTCTTTTGCATTTCATTAGTGATGTTGGATGGAACATCCGATGAGAATCGGATCCTTTTCAGTCTAATTCATTACAACATAGCAGCAAATATATGTGCTGCTCTTGTTGCCAACACCTAGCACCCACCAAGAAACCACCATCAGCTATAACTTCTTATATAAGCAAATTTTAGGAAACAGCAATTCCTTTGCTAATACATTATTTAACTTCTATTGAAATTATAAAAGTTAATAGAAATACATTAAGGGAGATAGTAATGTTTTCTTTCACCCAGCTCAGCTTTACTAAAAATGTGCTGGCTGACTGCAGTACTAAGAAAAAAAACCTGCCATGATTTTTTTAGTCAGCATCTATTCAATTTTAGGTAAAACTTCAGTTTTCCAGTTCTCCCCCATAAATAGCAGCTTAAGAAAAGTTGAATTTTTCTTTAAAGTAGTAGTCATTTCATTCTTAAATTTCTTTTAAATTATGATGACACACTTCATTATACCTATTTTTATTCTCCCACCTAATATTTTTACATCATCATTTCAGACAGCAGCTGGTAGCTGACCCAAGGATGCTGGGGACGGATTCTGGTTTATGCTTTAAGAGGCAGAACATACTACCCTTCTCATTCCTTTTGTGATGCAAACAGTGCCACCTTCTTCTGCAAACTGTTTCAAACCCAGGACAGTTAAAATAAAGAATACTTTAGCTGTTTCCCTTTATTTCTGGCATAATCTTGATCTCCTCCTGTATAGTAAATGAAACAGAGGAACCACTGGAGATTATCAGGCCTACCTTGTCAGCCCCACCGAGTACACCAATACCTAACATACATTCAACTAATCTATTCTTATAGTCCCCCCTAGGCAGATGTAGCAAAGGCTCCTCTGGCAACCTACAGCAAAGTGAGGAGGACAAAGCATTAAGTTACCATTGTGTCGAGTTATCTTCCACATGGAAGCCAAGCTACGGTCAGTTATGCGATAGACGAAGGGTGTGCTGTAAGGAGACTCATCACCATCCTGTGCAGTAAGGCAGATCGGTTTTCTGTCTCTGCACATGATATACTCAGTTTTGGTGATTCGTGGGTAATTCTTGTTCCCAGGCACGATGAAAACCTGAATTGTCCCAGTGCCTGTTTTGCCATCTATGAGATAAAAATAACTACTTATAGTACTTACTTATAACATTCACATATTTATTTCTACTCCAAACTTTCACAATGAAATGTCGTAAATTGTAATATCCAAGTTCAGAAGTAAGGTGGAAAGCAGCTGCTGATCTAGCCAAAAAGAGAGAGAGGGGCTCCCAGAGATTGCTCTTGGCTGCTTCTCTTTGTTTGGCTGGTTATAGAATGGATCAACAGCTCCCAAAGTTCCATATTCTGCATGTGCACACAATGTATTTTGCTGAGATATGTGTGGGCACAGATAATATTCTATGATGATAAGAGGAGAAAGAGCCCATAAATCAAGGATAAAGGATGCAACACTAAACTGAGTCAAAAGCAGAAAGTGAAGATTTCCAGCCTTTTCACTTCTGGAAGGAGGAAATAGATTACACTTTCTCTACCCTCCCTTCCTTGGAACACAAACACTTTCAGAAGTCCTCTTCCCTCCGAGTCAGTTGTTTACTTTTTATGCAACAGAAATTCTAAACAATTTAAATTCATATTATCTACATTTAATTTGAATATGCAAGCTTTAGGTTTAGAATTTTTAGCTGCAAAGCAACTTTCAATGGTCTGCTCTCTACTCCTACTGTGGCTTAAGCACATAAGGGCTCATACTAAATCCTGCCACTGGATTTATAAAGGCAGTCTATTTTTCCTTTTTAATACAAGATACTTATTTTAGAATTTAAGGTGTGGCCTAACATTTTTTTTGATAATCTATTTGGTACATTTAGCACTTGGAAGTGAAAGGTCGATTTAATCTTCTTGCGTACATGATGTTAAGGCAAAATTACATCTTTCCCTACAATAAATGCATATACACAAATTAATCAGAAATAGATGATCACTCACATTAAGTCAGAACAAAAACCTGTTTTAGAATGAGAATCTGAGTTTATAACCCTTCCTTTATGATTAGAGTAATATGTGACAGCTTATCACTTGAGCAACACATAGTGTTAACACTGTTACAGAATCTAGAGGACTGAGAATAAGAGCACAATAACACACAGCAATGAATACAGCTATTCTTAGAGGTCCTTAAATTAAGGGTTTCTAAATGCATGACACCAAGAAGTCAAACAGAGCATGAAACAGAAAAACTTGCAAGGTTAACAACTTTTTCCAAGGAGTTCTCTCTCTCCTTTCTTTTATCAACTTCACAGCTGCCAAGTGGTACCATTTAAAAAAGAGCTGGGAAATAAAAGGAATGCAATTCACAGGAAAATCCCTCAATTTAAACCTAACTGAAGGATTTTAAATGGGAGCAGATAACTTTTAAAAACATTGAGAATTTGCCCCAATTTTTGAAATGCATTCCCTACTGTATAATATTCCCTAAGCATTTGATAGAGCTATCCCAAAGACAAGACAAGGGACTATGTGGACCTCTGGTCTGAAACAACATAGCTGTCCTCATTCTAAATTTTCATGTAAGTATCTGTTACAGAGACCACAAGGAATACCAACAACATTTAGTACTCACTTCTGTCTACTGCAAGGACTGTGATATTGCATTGACCTCTTCTCATATCTCCTACATCTCGGTCCAAGACTTTAACAGTTCTGACTTCACCCGATTTTTCATCTATGTTGATCCAATTACATTGTCCAGGTGCTATCCGGTAGCTATCAAGAATAACTTGTTCGGTTAAAGATCTCAAACATATACACACATGTATGTACATACATACACATATAGATACATGTATTCACATACACTCGTGTGTGCAGATGCACCCACACACATACAGCATCAACAACTATTTCTCCCTTCCCATATCCCACTCATGCTGTACTATAAACAAATTAGTAGCTTTTCATACCTTATGCCTTCACTATTTCCAGTTTCTGGATCTTCTGCTACGTATCTCCCAATAGCTGTTCCAATGTCCTCACATTCTTTAACATCTATGCGTAACAGACAGGGTTTAAACACCGGCCCCTCATCTACATCCAGGACATGCACTGTAACAGAGCTGGTGCTCTGGGAAAGCTGTTGTGAATGTGGTGCCAGCATGTAGGGTGCCTCATTGTTGACTGCGATCACAAGGATCCTTTGCTTGGCATTTTCATAGTCCAGTCCCTGTAATAAGAGGTGGGGTGTTGTTTTTTTCTTTTAAACCAATACAAAACTTGGTATTGTTTCCACTGCCCAACTATTAAATAGATAAAACTGTACCACATTTATTTACAAAAGAAGTCAGCTATCCTTCTGGAACATCCAGCTTGACACAAGGCAAAGGGGCATAGTATGAAAAAAGTCAAGTTCTAAGTTACTCAAAGAAAACCTGAGGAACTACCCCTAATAAGGTAAGCAGCACCACTGTAAAATTTTAGGTGAATATTCTGATAGTCACTTAATAATCAAACCAAGATAAGAATTACATGTGGTAGAGGATTTTCTAATCCTGTATCTAGTTGGCTGGGTTTTTTTAGGTTACGTATACTTCCTTTCCAACACAGGTGAATCATGCTTCTTGCTAGCATCTACATTTACTTCCTAGTAAGACTTCATCCATTGGAAATACATCTGAACTATCTGAAGTTGTGGTGTTGATCAGTATCTTCCATTTATCCTTCAGACAACTTCTCCAGTATCACTGTATGCCTTTAATACAGCTATTTATATCCTAAAGTCATAATACTCTTTAGTTTACTACAGCATTACTTTAAACATAAGAAATTTTAACAGAGTCTGTATACCAAGGATGTAGCTTTAGGAAAGGTTCTAATAATTGCCAGCAACAAAAAAAACAATAAATAAACCCCCCCAACTCTATCCTTATGATTTACATTTTCAAAATTAAGTATTAATCTTCCCTGATCCTTAGAAGTTACTTGCTATTGCAGTTTTAAGAGATAATAAAAAATAGCCGGGTGAAGCATGATGATAAAGGACAACCCGATAAAGAATGCCCTGATAAAAGGACACATCTGTAAAGTACTAGGTATAACAAGTAACTAAACTAAAATGTAGTCTTACATGTACACGGACTCCCTCACACATTAAAAAAAGCAAACCTGAAGTCACTACCCTGCAAAATAAAACCTGGAGAGGTTTATCCTGAATTAGTAAGTTCAAACAACTCCCACAGAGGGCAAGGCTAGAGAAGGTGTTCATCCTTCCCCTCCTTTGCAACACTCCCATTTCTCTTAAAAACCGAACCATTAAGTATTCCTCACTTACATCCCTAAGTATAAGCAACTCCAACTGTGGAACCAGGCAAAAGCACCAAGCTATTCTGGAATGACCAACCAAACGGAATTCCTTGAATTACGTGCAAAACTGCGGAGTAGTCTGGGTGTTGAGTTTTGCAGGTTATGAACCCAGCATATGAACCCAGCTGCAGCGCATTATGCAATGTGAACTAGAAGAGAGTTCAGATCAGGAGAAAGCGTGATTTGCCTGATAGTTACTGATATTCGTTGAATGAGTTCTAGATTATTGGTTTTAAAAGCAATACCTGAAGACATACAAATTTTCCTCTAGAAGCTCCATTTCTACATACCTTAACAACACACAGTATTCCTTCATTTGTATTTTTGTCTGTTGTAATTTCAAAGGACTGATCATCATTTCCCTTTATAATTTCATACACTGCTCCTGAGCCAGGCGAGCCAGGTTCATCAAGATCAACAACAGAGACTCTCAGTATTTCTACGTTCACTCTGTTTTCCTCCACTCGTGTTTCATACTTGGAGTATCCAGAAAAAAAAAAAAAAAGAAAAAAACCAATCTGAATTGAAGAATACCATTCTATGATGCAGGACTGAAGAACACTGTATTTAGATAAGACTACTTAAACCCAAGGGGTCAATTTACCAAGTTGCTGTAATGATTTACTTTGTTTTCATGCATTAGCATAATTCTCCCACTTCTCCCTTACACCCTAAGTGAAACAGTAAAACCTCTCCTGACAGCACAGATGAAATCTCAGCTCCTTCATACACTAATATAACTAAGCCTGGAATTCTCCTTCCAGGAAATGTAAATTAGCACAGTTCTCCCCAGTTACCTCAGCTCTACATGCTAATTTGCCTACACCATCAAGCTCAGCATTAGAAAAGACATGGGGATAAATTAAAAAAAAAAAAAAACAAAACATATATATAAAAACCCACAGGAACTTGAAGGAAAGCCAAGAAGAGTGAAATACATCTGTACTTGGACAGCAAAGGATGAAAGGATCCTTCCCACTTTTTTATTTTTTGAAAGAGTTACGTTATCTGTGCTTCTTGAGCTTATACAGAATAAGAGTGATTCTGAATTAATACTACTGATGATATTCTACAGTAGTGAATGAAAAGGACAAGGTATGTGTGCCTCATGGGTAATGAATTATTTTTTTATGAATTTCATATTACAAAATCTCCCATGGTATTTTGGCCTGTATATGTTGCTATTAAGACCTGCAGATGGCTGCAATAAGCAAAGACTTAAGTATGAGTTGTAGCTATTGGTGAACAAGAAGTGGTTTAAATAATACTTCTGTGGATGAAAGAGAAGTTGGAAAAACTAGAAAACTTTGGTGAAAATACTTTCATCTACTTCATCGACACTAACTTTTACATTTGCAATAGACAAGTAGCCAAAAGCTGGCCAAATGGTAACAAGGTCATGACAATGCTTAGGAGTAAATCTGTCCTCTCCCTGAAAATGGTTAAATTATGGGATTTCTAAGACTATGCATTGCAGCAGAAGTGAATGAATGAGTCATGTCAGCTTTCTCTCAGAACATAAGGCAAATGAATCAAAGCAACTAACATAATAATAGGTCTAATTAACAAACAGCACATCAACGGACAGGGTGCTTTGAAATGTCTATACTGGCATTAGCTGTCTCAGGGCATTAGGCTTCACTGAGGGACTGCCCTTCAGGAAACTAGAAAGGTGATAAAAATAGGCTTTTTTGGAGTTGGTTCCCCCTCCCCCCCCTTTTTAACAGACATTTAAGAAGACTTACTTGCATTTGTTTAAAGCATGGTGCATTGTCATTCATATCTTCAATTCTAATGACAGCAGTTCCTGTAGTACACAAACCAAAAGGCTGGCCTGCCATATCTCTCACTTCAACTAACAAAGTGTAACTGGGTACCAGCTGAAAAGAGGAATAAAAGCATAAAGAAGTTTGGCATACTCATTCTTCAATCACATAATTACACACAAGAGTAGAACTAAATATTTTACTACAGTTCCCTAACTCTGCTCTAAATTCAGTGCCTGGAAAAAGCATTAGGTTTCTTAGGTGGAGGAAAAACACCCCTCCTGTTCCACACTTCATAGATTTATCATTAGAAGATAGGCAGTAGACTAATTTTATCAAGCCTTTCTTCCCCCAGTAGTCACTGTGATATTTTCTTTAGTAGTCACAGTGACGCTCAGACTCACTGCATTTTTCTCTTGCTACAGAAGTTGAGCAGTGTACCTGCAACTACACAATTCTGCAATTCACTGCTAACGTGGACTTTCAGCCATGAAGCAACATAAGTATGCCAGAATATGAGTCCTTTTATCCTCAGAAAAGATGTACCTGCAGCAGTGATTTTCTTCTAGAACGACTGTCTTATGCTAGAAATATTATTTTGAATAACCCATGCCTGTCAGATTTTCTAGTATAAACGGTATCTCACAGCACATTTTACCCCCTCCCATAAAAAAAATCCCAAATAAAATAATAACTAAAACCCCTGTATCTTATTTACTTGAAAGTTAGCTGATAAGTATAAATGGTTTGGACTTTAATTTTAGGAAATGTTATATTGCTGTTTAGCTTCAGATATCAGAGATATTTCTGTTAAGCACATGATGACCAATTACTTCCAAAAGAGCTGGTTCATTTACCCTGTAGAGAAGCAAGCAGCACCTCAAACAAAGCTTGATTAGGAGGAAAGAGTGGCTCATGGGATTCATGAACAGAAAAAGAGTGAAAATTCATGGGACTTTCAATCCATAGGTCAAGTAAGAGAGCAGTGGGAGGTCTCCTGCAAAGATTAGCTAGACTATGGTACATCTATACAGAAATTCTTTGGACAAATTACAGATCTCTGGAAAGGTTCAGAAGCTCGTTAGTGAGGGAAATAAAAATCATAAACAATTATTTGTCAGGTGATTCCCATGCCAGCAGTTAAGAAGCTATCTGTGTGCACTAGATGACAGCTAAACATGCTTCAGAAAACATCACCTCTCTGTCCAGCTGTGGCAATAATACAGCAATGACACCTGTGTCACTATGTAAAGAAAATGCTGGAGTTACTGGTGGATTTTGTGACACAATGCGGTATTTCAACGTAGTATGCAGAGTATAAGGCTCATCTCTGTCCTCCGCAGTCACCTTTCCAACAATGACACCTGTGAACACAATACAGCAATTTTTTGTTCCAGAAAAATCTGGAAATAATCAAAAGCTATTTGAACAGGTATTTATATTTTAGATACATGAAAATAGCTTTAAATGAAAATAATATTAAAAACACAGTAAATGGTACTAAAATACAGTAATGGCTTTTTTTTTCTTCCCTTCTTAGACAAAGTTGAAATTATTGAGCTATCAGAAATAAATACTAAAATTTCTAGATTTCAGTTAGTGTTCTTGACAGTGTGTTCTAACTGACCATCTCAATCACAGCTGAAGAGGAGTTGCAGGGAGAATGCAAAGGGAAGGTTTAGTCCTGCTTTGTGGGGAGAGCTGCTGTATTTTATGCCTATAGCCCCAGCAGTTTTGGAACTCCGCTTTATATCAGCAAGTAGAGCAGCTCAGATAGTGAAATGCAATTGATGTTTTGGGGTGAAGTGGAAGATACTTTACTTCCTTTTTTGTGAAGCGCATTAGACTTTCCCCACTCTATAGCCTTAGCCTAAGAGATGAGCAACGAAGGGTATACGATGGCTTTTGCATTCCTTATTCTCTGAGGTCCACCTTCCCCTCCTGCTTTTGTCCTCTGTAACACAGACAAGTGAAGTCAGTAACAGGCAAATCCCTACCTTTTACAAGTACAGGCAGAAGCAAGACTTTGTTCCCTCCTGTCCTCTCTCAGGAAAAGTCCTTGGTTCATCAGCTCAGAAAAATGCTCTAAGCTTAATCAAAGGCCTTTTACACCTTAGGACACATCTAATTTAGTTGCTTATGAAACTAATTGTTAAAAACTGCTGTTCTGTCAATCAAAACATTTTATGGAAACAGGCGTCTTGGATAAAATGAAAAGAATAACATTCGGAAGTTCTTAGAAACATCAAATAATATCAATTTTTAAAAACTTCTACTTGAACAATGCTTTTCAATATGATTGAGATGGCATTTTGGATTTTCTAATCCTTAAGAAATCTTGATCTGCTCTTTGCAAATTCTGTCTTTGCTGTAAAGAAGCACTCCTTAGGAAATGCCACTGAAAGTGATTAAAAGGCAAGATTACACTTAGTCATACTGGTATGCAAATGAGCCGAGTAGTGGTAATTGCGTTTACTGATTTAGAACAATTTCTTACCAGGTTTGGAATTTTCAGGGACAGAAAACTCAAAAAGGTCCTGTGTAAAATATGGAGCATTGTCATTATCATCCTCTATCCTGATTGTATGCACAAGTGGTACCTCTGGTGAATAACCATCTGGAGTGGTTGCGAAGCAAATGATCTGAAAGACATAAATTCAATAATTCACTTCATCCTTAAGCAACATAAAGTATTATTACACTTTCAGTTCAAAGGAGGAGTCAATAAAGTGAAATATAGCATGCAAAGCTCAAGCCCAGGCTCTTCAGCCACATGAAAGGGGAAGTGACTGATACCTTATGACAGCAACACAAACCCTTTAAATGCTTTCCAATCTTCCCCCTTTCCATTCCTTGCACTACAAGTATTTGAAAATATTTGGTAAAAATACTTTTACCAAAAATTTTGATGTAAATATGTCTATTTAGAACAAAATCAAGAACAGCAGCAAAACTATTTGTCCATTACAACATAATCTAATTTGCAGTAATAGTTACTGCAGTAATAGTTACTGGAAATTACCTAACTCTTTGGAAGATGTTTCTACTGCCTTCTTACACATCTCAGCCAGCAGAGAGAGCAGTGTACCTTGCTAACAAAACACTGAAACAGCTTGAGAAAGAGAGGCTCAGGTCTATAGTTTCTCATGATTTTGTTTCTATGCCACCTTACCAACCTTCCCTGAAAAACTCTGGGATAACTTCAAACTCTTCTCAAAAGTGATGTAAATGCAATAGCTCACTTATGCTGTAAATTATAGCATAAATAGCTCATTTATGCTATAATTAGAGTCTAAGTAATAAAAAGCAAAACTACTCTGTAGAGGCAGATGACCAGATATTTATTTGTAACTGATTTTCATCTCTGTAACACCAAAGATATTACTCAGATCTTGTCTGCTCCCAGTTTTTCCCCTGTCACCCAGCCTTCGAATACATGTACAACAGAAAAAAAAGATTTAATTATATTTGCACACTTTAGATCTATACCTGAAAGCTCGGATATTGTTCACGGTCTACTGCACGGGTAGCAAAGATATTCCCAGTTTCTCTTTCTATGTAAAACAAACCCTTTGGATCTTGATCAATTCCTGGTCCACTTGCAGAATAGTAAATGGTGTAGTTCTGAGCTGTGTCCGACTGGACCTATAAAGAATGCATTTTTTAAGCCTAAGGAAAACAGCATCATCCTTCTAATGTATTTCCCCCCTTTTTCACGACCATATTTAGCACAAGCAGGAACTCTTTGAAAGAAAAAAAAAAAACAACTTGATATACCTCTACTTCTTTACCAGCTTAAACTTCACAGAACAGCTTGCCATGCAATTGCTTTCCTTTTCAATGTGTGTACATTGGGGTAGTTAATTCATACTCAGAAATGTTTATGACTATCAAACAATTAAAGAAATAACAGTGTGCATAAAAAAAGTGTTTTCAAATCTAATCTCACTAGAATACTGCACAAACAAGGCACAGTCAGATACAGATGGCTTACTGTTTCTGTCCCTGTTCAAGAGATTTCAGGTTTAGCGCACCCACTGAGAATGTGGTTTGCAACAAGACAAGAAAAAGCAAAGTAGGAAGGGAGGAAATAAAAGGAGAGAGGAAGGAAGGAGACTGCCTATAGTCCAGAGATATGCCAATTCAGATAGTCTCTCTGCATTTCGTTACAAGCATCAAGGAGGTGACATTAGCAGCTACCTATTTAAAAACACTCCCCTCCTCAAGTACTTTCCTTACCTATTGAATGCCGGAAGTTAGGAATGTAAAATTAGTAGAAGAATAATTGCTCTTCACAGACTCTGTTATTACACTTGTCTCTACATATCTGCTACCAGCCTCTCTGTAATCTAGTGAAGGCTAGATGGATCTATGATAACTTTAGTTCTTGCATTTCTCTTTCACGCCTACTTGTTTTACAACAGTAAGTACTTTTCCTAATAATATAGGCTATAGTCAGTCTTCAATGCTACAGGTACACACCTCGTGCTCCAGAAAGGATGTAGACACGCAAGTAAGATTTCCCTTACCCTGTGTTTACAAAACCATTTTCTAGGCAATGTTTTCTGGGGATTGTTGGGCTTTTTAATTACACACTTTATTGATTTCCAAGCCAATGAGCTCTCTTCCAATAGTGTGCCTCTCTGCTTTTACAATTTTTACACACTTCCAGTTCATCCCAACAACTGTGATCACAAGTTGCTTCAGCAAAAAGATCTCAAGATACACACTGAACAGGACAGAACAAGACAGAGGAATAACAGCAGGAATGGCATCAGTAGGGAATACAAGAGAGCTCACTTTTGTTCTTCTTTTATCATAAAAGTCACACACAATACTAGTTTGGGTCATAAAATTAGGATTTGTATAAAATATACCTGCTGTATTTGTAGTGGAAAAGGTCCCAGTGAGTTCTCTATCATAACAGATGGAATAGGCCCCCACCTTCTTTTAGTTCGCTTGAGAACTGTATCTCTAGCATGCCTGGTCTTCTGTGTCTGGGCCCAGAAGATAAAAAGACAGGTAAGAATATACCCATATATTCTTACTTCATGTATTTTTGCTTAGCTATTGTTCTGAATTTTCATCTTTTTTATCCTCCATTTCAATTTTCCCACTAACCATTTTTTTCCAAAGTCTTAACTGCTGATTATGCCTGTGATAGTATTCCAAGAGTTTTTTCATTCATTGTAATACTTTGCATGATCAAAATCTGCTTTAATTGCTCAAACATGGCTTTTAAGATTCTTGACATTCCTATTAAGTTCCTTGCTTTCTTCCATTTCCTTGCATCTTCCATTTCAGAAAGGAGCTCTGTGTTGACTTAAACAACACAGTAATCAACAACTGCTAAATAAAAATACACTCTAACCTATAGTGCTTTGCCTAATTACTTGATTTCCAAAATTCAAATACAATTACTCAGCATGAAGCTGTACTCTATGATACAGTATTTCAAATAGGGATCTTGTAGCTAGAAGCTCACCTTTGTTTCTTCTTCCACCAAGCTAACATGTATTTTCTTTTCTAGTTGTTCTTGAATATCTTTAAGTAATATGGCAAAAGTCTTTTTCTCAGCAGAAAAAGAAACAGCAGATGTTGTATACACAGAACCATCCTCCAGAATTTTGAAGTTTCCATCACTGGAACTGATAAACTCTGCAGACTGAAGGCATTCTTTCAAATCAACTGTAAAAAATATATATATTCAGACAATAATTCAGACAGTGAGACAATAACATCCCTCAGAAAACAAAAAAGAAATCCCTAAGTAAAAATTACATTTACTGACACATGGAATCCTCAAAAATCTGCTCATTCCGCATTTAAGCATCACAAATATAGATTCTAGAACTCATTTATGCACTCAGATTTGACCAACACCACTCTTGTGTTCAGTGTTTCCTAAAGGATATGGGTGCTTCATGATTATCTTTCAACAAGATGCTATTACACTGGTGAAACTACTGAAGCATGAGAGATGAACTAGTATGTTTAAATGCAAAAAATGCTGGAGACACGCTCATTACTGGATCAGTAGCTATGACATTTGCCCCACAAAATCAGTGAAAATGATTAATTAATGCAAATGCCTAATGGTGATACTAAGTCTTATAATTTTTGCCTTCAGGAAGAAAACACAGACTGGTACAAAGTGATTTAATAGTCTTGGGAGGACAAAAGCCTTTAAATTATGAAGCAGACAGATGGGAGAGATACAGAGTAACTCTAGAACAAACAATTGGCAATTTTTTCGTATGCACCTGATAGAACCCCATGCAGTTTATAGCAAGTACCAGGTAAGTTCAACATACTTCTTGGGTATTTTTTTACTGTATTTGCTATCTCTTGTGGCTACAAAAACTTTAATACACTTTAATAAATTCGGTTCATTAGCAAGTAATTCAGCACTACAGCTTGAAAATAACCAAAATCAGGATGCTCATAATGAACTGCAGTAGGGCACAGCACTAAACAACAAGGATTTGGCACCCTGAAAAAGATGAAGGCCAGAGACCTAAATGCTAGACAAATGATCCTTGCAGAGTACAAGATGTGTCAGTGTCATGTTCTCAAAATCAAAACTTTTCAACACTCCTTCAACGATATGATAGTGGATAGCACCTTGTTCTATGAAAGCTGACTGCAAAATGTAGACTCAGAATTTCACCCCATATATGTAGTTGATATTTTCAATAAACTAAATTTCACATCTCTTTCAAGAATGCAAAAACAGATTGGAAGCATAATTTTAATTATGACACGATTTCTTCTTCTCTTCCTTCTGAAGTCTGTCTTTTAACTACTGAACTAAAAAGTTTTCTAGACTTTCTATAATACTGCAGAAGTGGTTCCTTTCCTTTGTCAATGAAAATTTAGTATTGCAGAGAATACCAATGCCTCACTTGAAGGTGTTGCATATCGCTGCATATTACAGCACTGCATTTCAAAAAATACCAGAGTGGAGATTTTGTTTCTGTTGCGTGAGTCAACATTATGCTCAGTTAGCCACAGCTTTGTGAGATCTTTTTCTTTACAGCTTCTTGTATTGTGTAATTCAGAAATATTAAAATACCTTACAACAAGCAGGAAAATCCTGACTCATTTTATTTTCAAGGTACGGTCCTTGTATCAATGCAAAATACATTATGCTTTCTCAATAAATGTTTAAGTAATGTCTTTCAGGCTATAAAAGTTCTGTTGAATTTTTGTTTAAAAAAAAAGCCAAAACAGTTAATTCTATTCTATTCTATTCTTATGCTCTCAACAATATGCAATTCCTTTCATAGTACTATAATAACCTGAAGTTTTGGGTTCATGTAAATTAAGTTTATTTACACAGAGAAATGCTAAAGTCTCCGAGAATTTACTAATTACTTAAACAGCTGTAGCAAACTTTCATTTAAAAAAAATAAGAGTAAGGGCAGTGAGCTTTTATTTTTAAAGCTGTATTTTCCCAGCATTTGTATGTGATGAACTACTGATCCACTTTACTTGTCCCTTCTATAGGAACTTGGATTAAGATCACAGATTTGGAGTATATTCCTCTGTTGGTTTAGGATTTACACAGGAGATCTCTGAATCCTCAAATTCAGTCTCAGCCCTGTTGCAGCTCTTATGCCACACCTGTAAAAGCTGCCCTTCATAGACTGGTCTGGGCTAAAAGAGAAAAAAAAAGGAAAAGAAAACTAAAACCAAAGAGGAGTGTGGTGTTTTTTTTCTGGTCTCCTCTATTCCTCCCAGTAAATTGTGAACTGCCATAAAACCAAAACAGACCATCCAGTCAGACAGGAGCACTCTCCCAAATGAATGTACATGTAGGACATCTTTGCAATGTGTCCCCTCGCGTGGCCTGAATGTCCCAGCACCACTGAGCAGTCAGTCACTTGTGTGTTTCACAGAGCAGCAGCTTCCGGGGGCTTTATTGTGTGGATTTTGTCTCTTTTTTTTCCTTTTCCATTATCCAAATGACTTACTACTTTCTTCATATGACTCTGGGGGTTATGGGTGCACTTTGGAATATCAAGCCACTTATATAAATATTAAGCCTTAGACTAAAAACATTAGACTCTCTCATTCTTGTTTTAAAATAAACACTGTAACCTGACAATAGCTGTTTATGCAAAAGTCAAATGGAGCTGGCGCTCAAATCCGTAACAGGGCGTATCCTTCACAAAAAGGCTGATCCAGCTGTTTAACTGGCTGTCCAGTCATCCATTCAATCCATTAAAAAAAAAAGGTTTCCTTTACTGTTAACAGCATTCCCAGCAAAGGTGCAATGTTGTATTGATAGGACCTTGCAGTTTCTCACCTCTGCCAACTAAGGTTTCAGCCTCTAGTTCAGAAGGAACATGAAAAATTACTGTCTTGCAAGCTTCACAGCACAAACTCAGTACCTAGAAAACAAGTTAAGAAATCATGAAAACAAAAAATAATTACATGGTATTTTGAATAACAACTACAGACACTGAAGCTGCCTTTGATTCATTTGTTTTTTAAGACTAGCCAGTTCAATAGCAGAGAAAGCTCTCAAGCTAAAAATTCAGGTACTATGCAGCATAGCATGTAAAGTTTCAAACTGGAAACGATCTGACTGCTGCTCCTGGATCTGTCCATGGCTTCTGTTTTTTCTACGAAAAATCACACAAGCAGTGACATTAACAAAAGTTCTCTCTCACTAGAAGATTTCACCTACACAATTACTTCAGTAGTGAGAAGATAAAATAAGGCTTGGCTGTGCATTCCCTCCAAGCGCATTCTTGGTCGATTTAGATCCAAGGTCCCTAAGTATTAAAAATCAATCCATTAACACTCAGTTCAGTAGAACTGTGGTGATGCTTAACATTAAAGGGACAAGTATCTTATTAAAACCACATGACGACACCTGCACTTCCATATCACTATGCATCTTCAAAGTACGTTCTCAACAAACTAATTAAATCTAGCTTCAGCAATTAGATATGACATAAATAAAATGCCGTGTATCACATCAGTCCACTCCCATATAACCACTTACAAAATGGGGTCCTCCTCAAAATTCAAATGAATAGTAGACAACCAGACCTTTTTATAAAAAGAATCATGCGGAAGTACAAAGACTTTCCTCAGCACAGAGCAACGCAGTCCTATCCTCAGATTATATATATATATATATAATGTGTATATATATATAATGTGTGTATATATATCTTGCCTGACTTCTATTCAGATGTTTAAAACTGTAATCCAAGAATCACACAGCCAATTAAACAAAGAAATAGAAAAATGTAAATAAATGCATTCACCCTTTTAAGTATATTTTTTCCTTCAGGATGAAAGTCTAGCAAAAAGGAAAGTAATTTTTATTTTGCACATACCTTTAGGATTAAAGGTACATAAAAGTAAATAGCTAATGGAAATTCTGAAAATGACTTGTGATTCTTATTTAGAAAATAATTAAATAAAGATACTTTAAGATCTTTAAGACATTAGGAACCTTCAGAAAAGCTATGATCAGCTAAAAAGTGAAGCTGAAATGTGGAATTTAACCATTGCATTAAAGTAATTTAAATGTGGTGTCTGCATCATAAAAGCTCTTTATACTGTTCCTTATATATATATATATATACACACACAGAGATATAAAAATACTTATACATGAAACAATTTAAGCATTCCAGCTTATGTATTAGTGCACGCTTTCCCTATTGACAGACACTTACTAAAACACTCTCTTCTGACAGACGCTGTATTGACTTTTAAGTTATTAAATCACACCATCTTAATACGTTGTTCTACGATACTTTAAGAATAAATGCCATCTAATTTTGAAATACTAATGCCAAGTTAGTCTGGAGTCAGCACGAAGAACTATTGAGAAGTTAATCAAATGTAAATGGCAGCTACTTGTGAATACCAAGATACAAGGGAACACCAGATAAAAATAAGCCATGCTGTCCTTTACACAAATAAGTCCCTTAAGGAATTTTGGGGGTTTGGGTGTTGGGTTTTTTACTCGA